TTAAAGTTCTAGTTGGTAAAATGAAGTTGATACTGAGCTTTTTCTAAGATCTAAATGTCTTGAATCTCTTCTTTTAGCCTAGTGTTTTCTGTTTTTCTTTAAGCTTCTTAATAAGGCTTTATTGTATTATTGTATTAACACTCTCTTTTTTCAATGGTTGTCTTGAGCTAAATGCATCTCTCGCTGAAGATTCCTATCTTGTTAAGAATGAATCAAAATCATTGACTTTTTCATAAGGATTATGCTTTCTCAGAGGATTTATCATACTACTGACTCTTTCTCTATTTTCTTCAAGATCTCTAAAAAATAAATATATTTATAATTGTGGTATTTAAAATACATTACTTATTATAGTCTTTTATCTAAAACCCTTTTAAAAATCTAAAGCATGTAAATTGTTTAAGTTTCTAATGATGGACCTTAATTAGGATTGAAGCGAACAGCCAAATCCAATTTATTATAAAATATCCATTGAAAAGAACAATCATCAGGAATAAAACAAATAGTATGTTTTCCTATCCATCAATCTCCTTTTGTAAGAAAAAAACTCCTCCAAATAATGTAAAAGTCTACATATTCATTATTTAGATAATAAATTTTCAGTAACTTACTGCTGAATATACAGATAATTTTTCAATATCATTAAGTCTGGGATCAATATACGGTAAATAGTAATGAATTAGCTATACTTGTATAAGTAGAACCATCATTCCTATTAATGCCTACAATAAATCATTACTAATTTTTACTTACTCTCATTTCTTATTTCATTGATGATAGTAAGGTAACACATAAAATGAAAATTATTTTCCTGCTATTGACTACTATTATCTCCCAATTAAAAGATTTATCATTTAGTCCAGTTATAAATAATCCATACTTCATGATGAAATCTTAGCTATAAATATTTTAAGATTTTCTCTGAATCAGATAGTAGATTGTTACTGGAAATCCAATCGTCCATATTCCAATCAAGCTAATTCCTATATAAACAGCGATATTCAAATGATCTCCAACCCAGCATTCGATGCTCAAGTCTTACTTTAGGAATTATTTATTGTCAAGTGTCGAGCAACTGAACAAAGAAAAGGTTTAATTTGTAATTAATGGATAACACAAGTAAGCAAAGATAAAGCTTGAAACAAGAATGTTCTATTATATATTCATTTTCTAACCATATTATTTTTTGATAGCTTAAAGAACTATCCAAAATATTGCTCCAAACATTGAGAGTATTAGAGGTAAGAGCCCAAATATGATAACTTTGATTATATACATGGGTGTGCTAGCAAAAGTTTGTTTTGAAAAAAAGCAATCAAATGAAAATAGATTTTGCTATTAAGAGCTCAGAAATGAAAATGATCTGAGAGCATTTTCTACGAGCTCTGGCCAGTTCATTTCGAATTCTTTTACAATCAATATTGCATGAAAATAGTTTGTAAGTATCCTAATCATAACTGTCTAAGGCTTGTTTCTGTTTGGTTTACTTAAGATTGAACTAAATCAATAGTAATTTTATTTATTATACTTACTGAGATAGGTAGACTACATATAAGCCAATCAGTGCTAAAATTCCCAGCATTTTCATGATCTAAATAGAAAGATCCTCGCATTCATAACATTAATTTTGACCTACTCTTGCGTATTTCTTGCCATTAATATTTGGAGAACAACTTTAGCAAAGCTTACCTTCATAACCAGATAGACATGTTTAGTGCATCCCTCCTCTAAATAAATAATTGAACAAGTATTTATTACAGGCAACTTTCAGGATAAGGGCATCTATATATATTTGTATTATTATATGCATTTCTCCAAAACCCTCTTTCTACTTCTGTTTAATTTTTTCCAAGGCATTTCATATTGTTCAAGCATGAGTCACAATAAATATTTTCAGGGTTGAAAGAGAATGAGCCTTTATTGCATTCTAAGCATTTATTATTTTGATTAACCTCTCCTTCAACGCATTGCCTGAGATAGAAACTGAGATAAAAATCTAAAATGTAATTTAGAAATGTAAATACCTTAATATTGTTCACTCTTAGCCTTGTAATGCATCTTAGTGTCTATAGTGTTAGATAATATTTTAAGCTTTATTATAGAATTAGGTTTTGATATTATTTCTAATTATTCAAATGAAAAAATTCCTCCTAAAGAAGACACTTTATTATTTTATGACTAGATTCTTATGTCAATCTCAGTGCTTATTATAGATGCTTCACCTTCATTTTGATTAACAACTAATTAATCATTCTAATCGAAAATCCCTATCCTTAATTAATTACTTAATGCCTAGCCACTAGCTACCTCCATTATAAGTTATTTATCATTTGGATCTTATATGAACCTATGGTTTTAATCTTATATTAATTAGAGATAAAATGGATAAGAAGCAAAATTTTAACCGTACTGAGCTGAGTTATTTGCGAATTAATTTTCAAGCAAATGTGTTGGACAGTAAAGGTCGTAATATATAGCACCGCCATTGAGGTTAGCCTTATTTGAACTGAATATATTATTTTCAATTAGATACTAGCATCCTTCATCTTTTGCAATTGAGCATGATAAGTATAAAACTCCACCGCTTGACTTTGCAGCTTAATTTCGGCTAAAATTACTATTCAAGATTATCAGATTTATTTCTTTGACCATAATGCTTCCTGCCATTTGATATGCTAAATTTCCCTCAAAATTGCAATTTTAGATTTACAATTATTTCGTATTAGTAGAAATAGCTTTATCATAAGAGTAAATAGCAGGACCTTAATTAGATGTCAGATTAATGAAACTTGTATTCAAAATCAAAGCATTAGACTAATATAAAAATATAGCTATGCCATTGATTTCCAAATCAGTAATTGCGTTAAATATTTATGAATTATTTACACTTAAAGAGCATTGAGATAAATCAAGAAGCTTTGAATTGAAATGACTAGCAATTATTTAATCTATCTAAACAGACGAACTAAATAACTAGAAAATTGGTTTTAGAGTATCAGTTTTCAATATTTATTATATAGAAGCTTATTATATTATAAGCTCACTCTTTTTAAAAAGAAAAAGTGGCTATTCCTTATTTTAATGAATCAAATTGTTAATTTATAAATTAGTCATTGATAATCTACTTTCAAAAGCATTTATTATAGATCCAATATGAGATGTAATATTAATTTTTGTCAGATAACCAATTGATTATGAAGATATTTTAATCATAAAGTCATCTTTCATCTCAATTTAATTAATTTCAATTCCATTAGCATGCATTATACTTTGATCTACTCTTATAAGTGGATACCTAATATCATATGTTTCAAAATATTTGATATCTTGAATATCTAATCTTGATGCTGAAGAAATATCAACTAGTGCCTGCTAATCATAAATTTCCAATCCTTAACTAAGAATTATAACTGCCTTAATTGCTAAAATCTAGAAATTTTGAAGCTCCACTTCATAATATATCTAATCAAGACCCTTACTTTTGTTTCCTTCTAGAATAAACTCCATAAATCTATGATCGAAATTGTCTGTATTAAGCTAAGAATTAAACTTAACTTCACTTCTGTAAATCAATCCATTTTATGAAATTTATCCGCCTAATATTTATATTGGATTCTATGAGTTTATTGAAAATATTAGACTAGCTTTTAACGCATAATTTTTTGTCAAATTGCAGTTTAAAAAATCCATTTATCCTAAATTTTAGGAATACAAAACTCCACCAATTAAAGCGAAATTATTATCAATTTTACACTAATCACAAGAAATATATCCACTAAGCTAACTAAAAAAGACACCACCTTCAATTGCATAATTGTTTTAGAAGCTTGACCTACTTATTAAAGATCTTGAATTTTCTGATTCACCAAAGATAATAGCACCTCTACCTATTGAAAAATTTTCTAGGAATCCTGAATCTTAAATGTACAATAGTGTATTCTTTGAATGATAGATAAGTGAAGATTTCCCTGCAAAATTCTTACTAAATACAGAACTTAGTATCTAAACTGTTTAAGGTATGGTATTTTCAGAGAGTGAGGGTATCATCTGAAGAAACATACCTGTATTATTAATAAATTTCATTGAACTTATTTCGAAAACATCAGAATTATGTTTGAGCGAGATAAATGATCCAATATCAAGCTAGCATTTTATTATTTGGGAATCTTAGAAATAAATCTCTAAATTTTTATAAGAAAAAGATTGAGTTTTAAACATTGATTATTTTTTCTCTAAATTGATTAGGTCTAATGTTATATTTCTAAAGTTAATTATCATCTTTCCTTTACTCTTTAAATCTACCAATATTGTTTCAATTTCAAAGAACTCTAAAGGGGAATCAAACATTTCCCAATTAATGAATTGATAAATCATATCTTAACTTTCATTTTAATACGGCTACAGTAGGTCTAACTTTATTGCATTCAGTGACGCTTTAAAAAAAAATCTTTAGCAAATATAAATTTCATACCTTTTTATGATAGTGCTAAAGAATTAATTCTGACATTCTTTGAGGTAAGATTCTTTGTTTGGGAAAAATAGAACAAATGATTTCGAGATAACTCTGAGGCCTCAATATGGATATCAGTGAGTATAATATCCTCTGTTGATTGAAAACTGATAAATTTGCTGTCCATAAGAGTCATTAGGCTAGCGTTAATTGAACTTATATGAATATTCTATGTTTGCTGAACCCATATCATTGAACTTTTTTAGCTTGATTCCACTATAGGAATAATTTTTACAGATAAATAATCATACTTAAGCTAGAGATTCCATAAAAATAGGTTTCCTAAATTATAGAATTTCTTGATTACACACTAATGAATGTAGGTATCACAGAGTTCTTGATAGTGTTATTTTTAAAAGCTAAGTTAGGTGAATTGACTAATATAAATGATGTTTCTACAAATAAATTCTCTATGTTTTCAAAATAGTTATTCTCAAACACTATGTCAAGGTCAAGCTAGTTAAATTTTTATATTACAAATACTCCTGGGTTAAAGTATGTAAGATTTGATATTTTGTTATCTTTAATTATTACACTTTATTTTCCTTCTTTTTAAAACTTAAACGTGAAAAAGATAAAAGACATTGTGGGATAGGAATTCTGAATAGTATTGTTTTATATAATCATTTGAGTATATGCTATATTAGCACAGTTTAACCAAATATGTTCTATTGAAATTGAAATGTCAGATTATATCCATCTCATATCAATAAATCTGTTATTAATAAGAGTGAAGTTTCCATGGTTTTAAATGTATATCAAAGAGGTATACCCTCCTACATTATATCCTATAAACAAATTATTGCTCCATATATAGTTGTTTGCAATGCCATAATTATCGAACAAGTAGCACGATGAGGATGATTAAAATATTGCAACTCTATTCTGAATACTCACATCAATGGTTGAGCTATCAATTTTAACGTTTCCCCCTTCAAGAGTCATAGTTAGTTGCTATTCAAGCAAGAAATAGCAATTAGTTATATTTATCCATCGATACTCCCCGAATTTAGGGAAAAACAAAGAATTTATAGTCGAATCTATAAAGCTATATTCTGTGAAGTTGAAATTCTCGACAACTAGATCTGCATTAAAAGTCATGAATTTATATTTAGCTTAAGCTTCAGCTGATTGATCTAGAAGTCCTTCTTGAATTCTCAGGTTAAAATTATAGGGAGTGTCCATCCAATTAGATGTAGATAGAGTAGGATTAAAGTCACTTTATGGTCTCCAATAGCTTGATTGGTATATTTTAATTTATGTCTTTTCTTTAAAATTCAATTGCTGATTTTATGTCCCATCTTATTGTAATCCTTATTAATTGATCAGAGTATGATTTTAAGAATAGAAGGGCCTATAAGAATTTAGTAGAAAAATAATACTTTAAATAAATGAGAGAATTGAGGACAAGAAGAGGCATCTCACTTGTATGAATAGTCAAATTTGATCCATGCTTGAGAAAAATTGTAAAGTTTTAATTTAGCTATGCAAAGTGATTAAATATCTCTCTGAATGGATCATCTATAGCTTTGAATGGATGGGCTATTGTTCCTAGCTCAATATTACTTGAGTTTGATGAAGGATCCACATAATAATATTTTGCTAAAATTTAAATGTTGATTAGGAATAAAGTTACATCTGCAAAATCTAAAATACTTTCCAATGAGGTGTGAATTAGTAACTTAAACTGGCAAACTTTCATTTCTACATGTAGCTACACACTCCCATGAATTTAAATCTCTAAAAAGTAATTTATCCTAACTGCCTTTCAAACTACAGCTTAGACAATCATTGCTACTCGGCCCAATACAAAATGAATCACAATTTTCATGGCATACTAGTTTAAGTCAATGATTTACAATCTAACATACGTAAGCATAAGTTCTAGTAATTGTCTAGATAGTTTCCTTTCCCACAAGTTTATGATAAGCCTTAACTTAATAGCATTTGATTGATAAACAAGCAAATTAAGACACTATATCGAAGAATATATTCTTGTCTTGAAATCATTAATAAATAATATTGTCAATCAAATTGTTTCAGAAAATACTATCTATTATAAAATTAATTCATAGAATTTTTCTCTATTATCCTAATGCGGGGTTTGGGGTTTTGGGGTTTTGGGG